TATTTTAATCTACTACAGTCCCCTCTCCAATACACTGTCAGGTTATTCCCATCCATCAATTATGATCAGAGGGAAATCGCCGGAGGCTTATTCCCTGTGTAGATCTTGCAAATGTATTTTTGGCTTTCACTGTCCTCTGTAGCATTCTGCAGCCACACTCTCACAATTTAAGCTCTGATACTATTCTTGCATTCAGATATGGATTCCATAATTTACATTTCTTGGATCACGGATATTGGTGTGTTTTTTCCATCTGGACTTAGTTGACATCTCACTCAGATGGCTGCTTGCTTGGAAACAAGCCTTTAAAACCCCCAGACACTATTCGATCTGAGAGCCAGGCACCATCTAATTTCCTCAACACACTTTGCTATAGCACCCACATCTTCTGTGTTTCCTTTATGAGGGCGAGTATCGGTTGCTTGCATTTGAAAGATGAAGTACCTGGGGCTTTAGACACTTAAGCAGGTGTCACACCCAGTCGGGTGCCCCCCAGCCTGTGCTGCCCTGTGAATGCTCCACTGGTGGGGTTTTGATGGGTCTTCAGTCCCCCAAGACGGCCGGGCGGAGCATTGTCCTTTCAATGGGGGTCGCATGAGCCCGAAATCACCACTTAACATCTCCCAGAAGCACTCTTGTGCACCTGGCACCTCACCCAACCTCCGGACTCGTGCTGATAATCAGCATTTACAATGCGGTAATCACGGTAAAAGTATTAACACCTGGGGCATTTTGAGCCTGCTCCGTGTATGCATCTCAGGGGGCAGAGTTTCCAGGCGAGTCGGAAGGTCTCCAGGACCACCAGCCTGGGCAGGAGCCCGTCAGGACACCTGCCCATTCTCCTGCTGTGGTTTGCTGACCTGATCGGATAGATCACCATGTAATTAATTATCAACAAAGCAGCCAGCCAGGAGCACAATGCACAAAGAAGCCATTAGCAAGCCTCGCTGTGTGCTCTTTCTTTCTCCTCTGCATTTTCATCCATCCGGGAAGCTTCAGATGTGTCATCCCCCTTAACGATGCCTTCATGCTGCTGGGATCCATCGCTTCCTGATACTGCAGTTTTAAGAAGTGACCCAGAAAATAGGCTTTCCAAGAAAACCTCCCTCGAACCCTCTAACCCCAAGCAGAGGACCAGATTAAAAGAGCCTGGGCTTGTATGCATATTTATGCTGGAACCACGGCCAAATCAGATTAGAGGAGTTCATCCCGAAGGGCAAACACAAATCTGTCCTCAGATTTAATGAGAAACTGACATGTTAATAGCATACTGATGCTTTCATCCATCAGGGGATCTATACAGCATGGTGGGTGTGATCGGAGCATCTAGGCCCCAGGGAAGATGCTGTCTTTGTCAGATTTCATTCTCTCAGGAGAGCAACGATCCTGATGAGGAGAGCACCAAAGACATCACAAATGCGTGACACAAAAGACAAAGAGTTGAGAATTCTGGTCTTAATGTGCCTGGGAAAGTTCTCTCTCGACACTGCCAGTGGGTGCAGTCGACAGAGGCTAATTCCTCTAAACGGCGTCTCCCAGGGTGGTTCCCCATAGCACAGTAGCCACAGGGAGCTAATAGGTACCATGTGAAGAAAAGGCTCTGGGTCAACATGATTTGGAAAATGAGAAACTGAACAGGCTTCTTTATTGAAAGGCTCATACTTTCTGACTTTCCAAGAAGCAGGGCAATTATGCTGTGCTTCCAAATTTACTGGAGTCCTTGGGTAAGTGAAAGGTTCATGGGTTTGGCTGCTAACCACAAGGTTGGTAGTTCAAGTTCTCCAAAAGGTACTTAGGAAAAGAAAAAAGACCAGGTCATCTACTTCAAAAATATCAGCCACTGAAAACCCCGTGGAGCACAGTTCCACCCGGAGTCCTTCTGAGTCACGAGTCCTCATACATTGACGGTAACTGGTTCCAAATTTACTAAACTTTGGAGTTCTTCCTTCTCAAAGCCACACACCCCAGAGCCAGACACATCTTGTGCAAAATATATATAATGTATATAGAGGCACAAAGGGAACTGACTGTATCGAAATTAAGTACCAAAATATTAAAAGATCCTTTAAAAAGTGGAATACGTTAATGCATGAATTATTTTTGTGTATGCACAAAGTGATAAGATCCAGTGGTGGTCTAATAACTAAAGTCACTTCAAAGTCATATATCATAAGTATTATTTGCAGACATTTGCAGCAACAGTAATGTGATATGAAAAAATCTGTGACAAAGGCAGCCGATACAGCTGTGCTTGGGTGCCGACATCATAGTTGAAGAAAATGCTGCATTTAGTTAGAGAGTAGTGGGGATTTAAATTCTTCTCCATTTAAGTTCATGGATACTCTTAATTCTGGGGGTCCCCATGGACTCTAGGGGGATATAAGTGGGTAGGATGAGAAGTCATTGAAAATTGCTGGTGACTTAGGTCCTAATGTGCTGAGTATGAGTATAAATGTAACTTGAAAAAAATTTAAACTATTTGGGGGCTTCAAAATATTTTCAACAGGGCTTGGACCCCAAAACTTGAACGCAGTGAACCCCAAATAAAAAATGGCAAGGGAAAAAACAAGCTCTTTACTCTTACTCCATTGGAAAATGACAAGCCCTTTTCAAAAGTAATGTGAGGGACAAGCCTTTCTTCTGACACTAAAGGAAAGAATTAAAACAATGCTATGATTTCATAAACCCTGTCTGTCAATTTGCCGTTCTGTGGTCCCTTGCAGATTACCCTCATGCTGGAAGCTAGGCCACTAGTACCATCAGGGTCACCACAGGTGACCAGGTGAACAGGTGAACTGAGCCCCGAGTATGAAGACTGAATAGGCCATCCACCCCTAAGGAATTAGTCACAAAACCCCTATGACTGGAAGTAGAATTCTGTCAGAGTTAGTGCCAAGAAGGTGAGTGGCTCAGGTTGGAGCATTCAGAATATGACTGAGGAAGAGCCGCCTCCTCAAAGTAGAGTTGATCGTCATGATGTGGATAGAGTAACACCCTTGTTGGCAGATGGGTTGCAACTGAAAAGGAGAAGAAACAGTGCATTGGTCAATGAATAATTGGAACTTGTAATATACAGATTATGAATATAGGAACATTAGAATTTAGAAAAAATGAAATGTCGATACCCTCAGCATTTGTGAGCTCTCATGGACTGCAATTGTCCACTTTGAGTCAGAGAATCATATGGTTTACTGTGCCAGGAATGACAGATTCCAGAGGACTGGCGATCCATTCATGACCAAGAAGGACTTTTCAATCTCCATATTGAAGTACAATGCTGTCTGTGATAGACTATTGTCTAGCTGTATACAAGGAAATCCAGTCAATACAATTATCATTAAAATTTACACACCAACCACTACAGCCAGTGATGAATACATTGAAACATTCACTAATGTCTTCAGTCTGAAATTGATCATTCAGTCAAGATGCATTGATAATCATTGGTGATTGGAATGCAAAAGTTGTAAAATATGGTTTTGATATAAATGAAGCTGGAGATCACATGATCCAATTTTGCAAGACTACTGATTTCCTCACCGATCTCGTTTTTCAGCAACATAAATGATTACACACACGGACTTCTTCAGATGGAATACACACAATCAAATAGACTACATCTGTGGGAAGAGATGACGAAGCTCAATATCATCAGCCAAAACGAGCCCTGGGGCTGACTGTGAACAGACCCAAACAAAAAAAAAAACCCAAACCCAAACTTACTGCCATTGAGTTAATTCTGGAAAAGTGAGTTATGAGTTGGGCTGTTAACCACAAGGTTAGTAGCTTGAAATCACCAGCCCTCCACAGGAGAAAGATGAGGCTTTCTACTCACATGAAAATTTAGTCTCAGAATCCCACAGGAGCAGTTCTGCTCTGACCTATAGGGCCACTGCCAGTCAGGAGATGGAAAAGGACATCAGACTTGGTAAGACAGATGATCAGACCCTGGAGAAGGACCTCATGTTTGCTAAAGTGTCAGGGTAGAGAGAGAGTGGAAGGCCTTTGACGAGATGGATTCACATGGTGGGCGCAGCAATGAGTTCGAACATAGTAATAATTGTGAGGATGGTACCTGGTGGGGCAGTGTCTTGTTCTGTTGTACACAGAGTCACTATGACTTGGAATCAACTTAATGGCACCTTCAGTGACCCAACTCTACAGGAGCGTTGAGCGCTTCCCATCAACGGTACTGCAGAGGAAGGTAGCTTCTCTATTGACTTCTTCCCATCACAAGAAAGGTGATTCAACCTGTCAATTGAAATGTGTCCAAGGAGAGGATGCATTCCTCTTTTAGAGTTGTTTCCATTTTCAATATTTTCTGCTTTCTTTTTGGATGAGGTTTTGTCTAGTTGCCATTGTTGGTTGTTTGGTTGTTGTTTGCTTCCAGTTTGTGTTTTGTATGATTTTCTGTATGTGGAATCCAGGATAGATAGATCTAGAGACAACAAGTGGACTGATCATTGTCAAGGGGCTTGGCGGGGGAGGAATGGGGGGAAATGGGGAGCTAACCACCATGAGAACAAGATGAAAATATCCTGAAACTGATTGTGGTGATGATTGTGTAAATCTTCTTAATATGATTGAATGATTAAATTGTATGTTATGTGAAGTATATGCCAATAAGACTAAGAAAAAAAGAAGAGATGTGATCTGGAGAGCAACACCCATTCATCCAGGCATCCATCCATCCAGGCATCCATCCATCCGTGCATTCATCCGTCTGCCCATCCATCCATCCTATCCCCTCTGCTGTAGAGCACTTGTAATGGGTCAGGAATTGTTGAAGGAGCTATGGATACGGCTATGAACCTGACTTCCAGGTTCATGGAGCTTTCAGTCAAGTTTTGTTGCTTCTTACCAGGAAGTCTGTCTCGCCAGGGATGGGCATCTCAGAGATGAAGTACTGCATGTCTTCCCATTTGACATCAATCTTACAAAAGTAAATGATTTTACCCACAATGCTTTGTGAAGCTGAAAGAATACATTAAAACTATTAATAATGAGCAACACATTTTATTTTTCTATGAAGAATATTACAAAACCATTGTTATGAGGAGAAGCAATCAGATTATGCAGTCAAAGAATGAAAGTATTAAGAAAAAGGGTCATTTTGTGAATTTCATCAACTTGAAAATATTTGTTATTTGTTGTGATTTCTATCCTCATTTTAGACAAATGTTCAGTTTGTACTTACTTTGTCTTTTTAAAAACATAATTCACAAAACGTGGACTGGACCTACTTGTGAAATCACTTGCTAGGAGAAGCTTCACTTGCCTGGGCCATCTTTCAGAAGTTCACAATAGCAGGAGGACCAGTTCCCCAGCATACTGAAACTCTGGGAAAATTGCTAAACATGTTTTTTTCAGAAGTCTCTTTTAGGAGAATTAGCTATTGCAGGGCATTGCCAGTTCCTTATTTGCAATGCCACCCAACATACTTTAGTAAAGGTTGTTGGAGGGGCAGTTGATGTGGAATTGGGAAACTGATCTCAGCAGTACACTGAATCACACTGTCATTCAGATATGTTCTTAATTGAGAATAAAGCACTTGGCAAAGATAGTGCTAGTATTATGGAAAGTTGTTCCCAGAATAATTTGTTGAATGAGTTCATCAGTTTACCACGTGGGCTTCCCTGGGCTCCTGAGGGTGTTCTGGGACATTCAGTGCCCGCCTTGGTCTCCAAACACTTGTTCAATCTGGAGGTTGAAGGGATTCTCCTTTCCCAGGACCTCAGGCCCCTGGTGCTGTATCTTCTTCCAGAATTGATCTGCAAGCAGCAGCAGAGCTACCTGCCAGAGAGGACACAAAAGAGATGCAAATGTGAAGTTAGGAAAAGGTAAAGAATCGACCATCAAGGTAGACAGGCTGGAGGGCAGCTCCCATGATGGTCACCTTCATGCCTGGGTATCACTCAGTTCCCTTGATGTGGGTAGAACCTGTAACTAGTTACTAACCAAAGATTATGACAAAGACGTGTGCTGTCACCTCTGGGAGGGCACTGCATCAGTAAGCCTGCTGTGTTGGCTGACTTGCTGTTGATGAAGCAAGAAGCCCTGATGGGTGGCCACATGGCAAAGAGCTCACAGGAGCTCCGGGAGCTTCACGTGGGTTGAAATGACAGCCAGCACAAAGCCAGCATCCTCAGTTCTACAACCACAGGGAAATGGGTTGAGTGAGTTTGGAAAAGACTCATCCACAATTAATCTCTAGACAAGGACACGGCCCAGCAACATAGCATCGTGTTAGCTTTCTGAGACTGTGGTCACACACACACACACACACACACACACACACACACACGAAGAGATGCCATGTGAAGATTGCCAAGAACCAAGGGACCGGTTGGGCTACCAACAAGGAAATAATAATGATCAAGGCTGAGATCCTGATTTTGGCTTTTAGCCTCCAAAATTGTGAGAAAGCAACTTTCTATTCTTTTAAGCCATCCACTTATAGTATTCGTGCTATAGTAGCCCTAGGAAGGTAAAATGGGTGCCACTCTGCTGGGTTGGGGTGGAGGGGTGGATGCTCTCTGGAGGAGGTGATGGCTGAGCTGATTTGCCAAGGCAATCATTAGACAGATATTCGAGGAAATACTGCACGAAGTAGATGGCACAGCATGTGCAAAGACAAAGCAGTATGGGAGAGAATGGCCTGGGTGGGGAACTGCAGGAGTCCAGGAGCTGAGTCACCTCATGGGGTCTGGACAATAAAGGCAGCTGGGAGGGTTGAGGGTCTGGCTGGAGCACAGCGGGAGGAGGCATGCGCTTCATGCGCAGAAGGCTTTTCTCTGGCTTTCCTCACCTATATCCATCTCTGGTTCTGGTTGCAGCCCAGGATTTGCTTTATTCATGCTGCTAGCAGGATTCTTCCTTGGCCCTCCAATCTGCCAGCTTCTCCTTAGAGCATGTCTTCACCGCGGACTCTCTTCCTCTGCCGCTCAGGCTCTCCATGATGAAATGGGCCTTGGCCAGGCCCTCAGAACCTGGATGCCGACATCCCAACAGTGGTTTTCAAGTGGAGTCATGCGGGAAACATGACTGCTGAGGGTCTGCTACAGGCATCATTGTTTATGGAGGATGCTAAGGAATCCATGGGAAAGTACATGGTCATTGTCCTCAAGGGGGCACAATCGCCTTTCCGACAGGCAGTTCCAGAAGGTCTCTGTTTATGTGACAACTAGTAGCCCTTCTCTCTGGGCCCTGGGTCTCTTTATTGTAAAACGAACGGGCTAAGAACATGATCCCCAAAGCCCCTTCTGGGTCTGAAGTAGGTATAAGACTTAAAGCAAACTTCAAAATGGATGGAATCACTGAATTAAGTATCTCCAGAATTTTAATTCATTCCCAAATCTTCTGAATTGCATCTTGAATTTCATTCATCTAACTACATGGTCTTGATCATACCTATGGCGCGCGCACACACACACGGTTCAACTCACATACACAAAGCAGTCAATGTCAATGAAGACAGAGGGCTAGTCTTGTGGCTGCTTTTCCTGCCATTTCTCAAAAGAGTGGCTGCTGCCAGGGCTGTGGGAAACCACTGCTTTTTCTTTCCTGCTTTATGCACCTGAACTGTCTTCCCACCAATTGTGTGGCACCAACGGGTCTGTGGCCATTGATTTCCCCCTCTATGTGAACAGGGAGGAGGAGACCCCTCCCGGTGAGGGTCAGGAGAGGGAAGTGAAAGTTAAATAGTAACTGTTAGGTTCAAAAGCAATTAGTCCTTCTAATGGAGATTAAGATATGTTGGAATGTGCATTGCTGGTATTTTGGGTGTAAAATGAGAGTGTCAGTGTTTTGCTAACAGAGAGATATGGGATAAAAATGACCCACTCTATTCATTTATTTGACCAACATTTACTAAGCCTTAGGGGCTTCTCTTATAGTCAGTCTCCTACAGTCAAGCCCATGACATACTGCACAGGGCAAAGCACAGGGACCCTTTACTCTCCATACACATTCTCATTCGTGAACACAAGTATTTAAGCACCATCTATTTATTGGAGAGAAATGTTAGAAGATAGTTAAATAAAAAGAGAAAAATGTCAAGAGTAATTACTATAGAGGCAGCCACTATTAATATTGCATGTAGGGGCTTCCTTATTTTCCATCCATCTATCTCTCCCTCTAAATCTATCTGCCATCTATCTATCTGTGCTAGTCTGGGTAGACTAGAGAAACAAACCAGAGAGACTCATATGTGTATAAGAAAGAGTTTTATATCAAAGAGTAATTTTATATTCAGAAACCATCCCAGCCCAGTCCAGATCAGGTCCATAGGCCCGATATCATCCCATATGTCTGATACTAGTCTGTAAAGTCCTCTTCAGACTCATGCAACACATGTAATGACACTGAGTGCAGGAAGATCACAAGCCAGTGGATGGAAAGTCATGTGGATCCAGTGGCGGTGGAAGCATCTTAACGCTGGTGTGGGTCTCCACATGGCTCCTCCAGCTCCAAGGCTTTGGCTGCCATCAGCATAGCTCCATGTGGCTTGTCAACAGGAATGTCTCGCAGGGAGATGAATCAGAGAGAGAGAGTGTGTCCCACCTCCAGGCAGGAAGACAGGAGTTCCCAGAATCCTCCTGAGAAGGCCATGCCCACGCAAAAGCCTCGTTGGCTATGACCTGATCGACAGGCTAGACTCTACCCCTTCACAAGTTGACAGATTATGTAACTGCCTATCTATCTATCTATCTGTCTGTCTGTCTGTCTCATCTATCTATCTATATATCTATCCATTCATCCACCCACCCACCCACCTCTCTACCCATATAAAAACAGGACCCTTCTGTAAATATCATTTGGTAACCAATTTTATAAATACATTACGTATACAGGTTCCTGGGTAGCACCCATTGCGCTTGGCTGGTAACCAAAGGTCTGAAGGCAGGCGGTGGTGCAGCAGAGGAAAGGACCTGGCAATCGGCTTCCTTGAAGATGACAGCCAGAACCCTCAGGGGGGCCGTGCTGCTCTAATACATGGGGCTGCCGTGAGTCGGGACCCACTCAAAGGCAGGATAACAACAAGTTACTCACAGTAAAACTCACTCCATTTGGCAAACACTTTCACAAGCTTTGACAAGTGCATACATAACGTTTGCTTAATCTCCGCCACCGCTGTAAATGCTTTCATCTACTTAGCTCTGTAGTACAAACAGATTGTTGTCACCGAAAGCAGGCCCGGGTCCTTGGATTTATTGCTGCAGTTCTGCCATCCGATGGGTGCACAGTCATTTATTTAACCACTGGAAACTTCTGCTACACATCTCCCCAGGGTTCGCCCTCAGGACACCTCTCTTCCTGCAGTGTGTCCAAGGTTAGCAGCAGGAGGAGGGTTTATGTGCTGTCTTGCTTACTGTCGCCACTAAATACAAGCGGGGTCTGGAACCTGGTCCAGAGGAGTGCTGGGAACGCGGCGTTCTGGTTAAGCAGGGGCTTTCTGGTTAGTAGGGTTCCTTGTTGAAAAGTCTTTCGGAATGCTTGTTTTCTTGCTGCGCGCGTGCGCATGCACACACACAGACACACACACACACACACACACACACACACCCCCCTCTATATAAACATATCTGCATCACTGCCGTCAAGTTGATTCCAACTTAGGTCCCTCGTGTGCATCTGCGTTGAAGGGTGCTCCGCAGAGATTTCAATAGCGGATTTTCCAGAAAGAGGTTTTCCTACAGAGGCATCTCTGGGTAGACTTGAATTGCCGACCTTGTGGTAGCAGAGGAGCGCGATCATTGTTTGCACTACCTGCAGCTCAGTAAAGCAGGGGCTCTGAGATCAAGTTAGCATTGTCGACTTAAATGGTTTGGCTGCTGCTGGGAGCCCTTGAGGTGCCCAAACCACAGGGCGGGCCTCGGCCCAGGGAGAAGGTGTGGCTCCTTGTTAAATCCCCATAGATAATCCGACAAAGCAGGAGAACATATAGTCTGCGTCTTAGAGAGTGTCTTTCCGTTTTCACTGAGACTCGTTCTCTCCAGGACTCAGGCTTGCGTGTGTGGGGAGGGGAGGGGTTATGGATGGCCAAGGCCTCTTGATTGGGGCCCTGGTGGCAGCTACCCGCTTTCAGAATCCAGGCACAGGGCTGACTTTGTACTCTGGCAGTTTCTCAGGATGCCCTTGTACCCATTTTGTACACAAAATTAGTTAAGTCAAGAATCTATGATACAGGCAGGCTTCGTTTTACATCGCACCCGCCCCACTGCCCATTCCACTGTGCTTCGAAGATGGCACATGTTTTTACTTTTACAGATGGGAGATTTGCGGCATCCCTGCATCAACCAAGTCTTTGTCAGTGCCCCTGGCCTACAGCACGTCATGTCTCTGTGTCACATTTTGATCATTTTTAGAGCATTCTGAAGTTCGTCATAAGCAACTGCACATTTTGCAGACTAATAAAACAATCAAACAAACCCCCAGGAAAACCCAACTCACTGCCGTTGAGCCGATTCCGACTCATGAGGACCCTATTAGACAGAACTGACCTTGTGAGTTTCCAAGACTGTAACTCTCTTTTTCCCCCCACCAGTTTTATTGGCACATACATCACATATCATGCAATTTACCAGTTCAATTGTTCAATCACATCAAGGGGAGTTGTATAATCACCACCACGGATGGATCTATCTTAGAGACTCCCCCCTCCCCCCCATGGTTATGTCTCCTTTCAACTGAGTTGTGCAATCACTATCAGTTTTGGCGTTCCCTCCCCCATCCCCCCCCCATTGTGTATTCCCGAAATCCCCTTTCTACCTCTATTGTACATCCCTGACCCCAGTATTCCCCGTAACACCTTGTATTGGTTAGTATCATTATACCGCCATTCCTCCTGTGCTTCACAGCTGGGAAACCCAATAGAAAGCAATGAGGGCAAATTGCAATAAGTTGATAAGGATAAGATCATATCAATATAAAGGCAAACATACAAATAATGCGTAAGATGGAGAAGACCCCCATCAACATTCAAAAAGCCAGGGAAGGAATTTTTGTCCAAGGATAGCTAAGAGATGCTTGCACCAATACAAATTCAGGTCATGGCTGCAGGGAGGACAAATGGCCCGGCACCGAGTCCAATCCAGTATGGTCAAGATTACAATGGTCTCTGCTGTTCTCGACTCTTGCCTGTGGCTAGACTGGATCTTCCAGCTGCTCGGTCTGACTAGATACTCTATAGATGGGTTTGGGGCTCCCATTATCCTCCATAGCCTTCTCCAATGTGGGTGTTCATAATTTTAGCTTTGATACTTTTCACTTCACCATATTTGAATTTTATTATGGTCATCTTTGGATTTCATAAGTTGGTATGCTTCTTCTGTGGGGACTTAGTTGACTCCTCGCTTAGATGGCTGCTTGAATACAAGCCTTGAAGACCCCAGGCACTATTTCTAGCCATCGATGGGCACCATGTGCTTCCTTTACTACACTTCGCTGTAGCACCCTTCTCCCCATGATCCTTTCATGAAGTTGAGTATCGAGCAGGGCCATGATGGAAGAACTAATTGTTTTTAAGTTGGAGCTAGGATTTTGTACAAGCCCAGAACTCATTCCTGAATCTATGCTTTTAAAATTTTTAAATAAAATTTGCTGTAACTTTGGGATTAATACGTATGCCATATCATTCTATAGTTCAATCATAGCAAACATAATTGTACAATTGCTTCCATAATCAGTCTCTAGACATCCTTTTCCTTCCTGGCTTGTTGATGTCATTTCCTTCTTATCTCCCCTACTTCTCTATCTCCTGCTCCCCCCACACCCTTTTATGTTTTCTTACCCTAAAACCTCATCTTTCTCCCTTGGAGTAGCTGGTGGTTTTGAACTGCAGACTCTGCAGTTAGCAGCTCAAAGCATAACAACCCGCCAACAAGGCCCCCTGGAAAAGGGAAAAAAAAATTTAAGCGCCGTAAAAAAACAAAAAAAACCTATGTGACTCCCTTTACTGTAGTATTCGCTTCATCTCAATGGTCTGGAAGCAAGCTCACATCACCTCCAAGGGTTGCCTGTATTACTTCCTACTGATTTCCACTCTGTTTACTTCACCTTCCTCTAGTACCTTTTTGTAAGTCATTGCAACAAAACAAGACAAAAACATTTGCTCTGGTAATAAACAGATAAAAATTAATACGCGGATGTCTGAAAGTAACAGCGGCACAGCAGTTGCCCTGGAATCCACGCCCACTCTGGTGACCCCGCATGTGTCCGAGTGGAACGGTGTTTCCCAGGATTGGTTCTCAAGGACTGAGTTTGGAAAATTGGCTACAGGCCTTTGCTCAAGGTGCTTTTGTGCGTCCCTGAACTGCCAACCTGTCTTGTCAATGGTCCAGCATGTTGACCATTTGTACCTCCCAGGGATTCCTCGAAATGCACTGAGATATTGAAAAGGGACGGGCACAGCCTCCAGCAATCATGCTGCGCTTGTGTTTACCTCATTGGGGTGGAATCCATCGACGGGTTCAATGAGCTCCCAGGGCTGTCCACCTCTCCTCTGCCACTCCTCCACGACTGCAGGGTACAACCAGCTGGTTAGAGACATGTCTTCGCCAAGGACTATCAATCAATCAATGTCTGCAAACAAGGACCCTGAGACATGTTGTCAAAGCTGACCACTGCTCCACCCCCGCACCTGCCGTTTGGCCCATCCTTAGCTAAGCACTACTGCCTCTGAGTGGCTCGTTTGGGCTGGGGGCTTTCTGAACAGATCTCCCCATCTCTTTCCCATCAGAAAGACAGTGTCTGAGCGTGCTCGGTGGCAGCCATGTGTGTTGCGGGGAGTGTGGTAAGAGAGATGAGCTCTAAAATATTCAACACCAATCTAACACCATCTCATTTTTCAGTGGCTTCGTAGGCTGGCATGACAAGGAGCAGGCGGGGCCAACTAAATGTTTTGTTAACATCTCCTCTCATGGGCTGCCAGTTGCAGACACTGCCTGCATGTGTCAAGTGACCACCTTTAAAAATGACACTGTACCGCAGAAAGATGGTATGACTGCCTAATCTTAGCATCACACGTAGAGGGAGTGTGACTACAGATGAAATATTATGAGCCCCAAAGTGATGAAAAGCAATGAAACCATCCTTCAAAGAGGATAAGAGACCAAGAGTGGTCCAAGGGTCCACTTGCTCCAAGGGAATAGCACAATTAACAATTACATTGTGATGTTGTATGATCCATAAGAACTCCCCAAGCACATCTCAAACCCTCAGAGAGAGAAAAACAGTGGGAGACAGCTGCTACTGGCCCAGGCCAGGCCCTGGGTCCTGCTGGCCACTCTGCTGCCGCTGCTGGCTGCGGGGCTGGTCCTCACTCCCCTGCCCCTCACGCTCCTTCAGTTTTCTTCTCTCTTTGACTGGGCGATGGTCAGCCAGTCTCTTCCTTTGTGTAGTGGGTGGGTGGGTGGGGGTGGGCAGCGGTGGTGGTGGGTGGGTGACTGAGGGTTCTGTTACTTTCCTTCCTTCCAACTTGATGAGTCTCTAGCTGAGCTGTCTCCAGTCTAAATTCCAAACAACTTCATTTAGCAGAGTTTCTGCAATTGGAGAGACGACGCTAGTCCCAACTAGTTCCCTCAATGCTGTTTGTCGTTAGTTATTGGATGTCTCTCATCCGGATCTCGCAGGGGTCTCAAGTACAACAACAAACAATGCCGGGGAGAGGCCCAGCCAGGTGACATGCTGGCCGCCTTCACCTCATAGACGACTTCTCTTCCCTGTGGTGCCCTTTGACTTCTCAAAAGTCCTGATGCACGTTCTCCTGATTATTTATTTGTGTGTGTGTGTTTCCCATTTGGTATGATGCCATAAGATGTTAAAGAAAAAAAAATAATGGGAAGAAATTATGAAATAAAAGTCCAAAAGAAAGCTAAAGGGATAGCCAGGCAGTGACCAGGAGATCAGACCAATTGCAATGGATCGAATAGCGAGTGCCAAGCTGCTGAACAGTTGCCAGGAGCAGATGAGTAAGAAGGAGGCAGCAGCTGTCATCCACCAAGTCCTGGACATGGCCCGGACTTCCCAGACATCTCTGATCCAATGTGAGGAGGAAGCCTTTTTCAATACTTTGTGACTCTCCATGTTTGCAGAAAATATTGACTGTCAAGCTGAATCAGAATACATGCCTTCTATGCCAGGAGAAGAATCCTGAAAGAATGGCTGTGATCAGAATATTTGGAAAATCTAGAATGGAAAGTAAATTTGAGCCAATTAAAAAGATACACATAGTTTAAGGTCACACTCAGATTTGCTTACATGCCTACTTCTCAGCTGCTGACTCTATCATTAACTGACACTCCGCATTGATGGTGAGAGTAAGAAATATATCGTCTGACTCTTTTGCCCATGAACGGCACATGTCTGGCAATAATGACCACAGGTATGAAGCAAGAGTAGTGCTGGGTATGAAGCTTTAGGTTGTAGGTCAAATTGGTTGACCCATGGTTCTCAGTGGTTTGGCAGTTATGAAACGATGTAGCCATTTTGTGATCTGATGTGGTCACCCTCCATCTGTGCATGGTGCCAGGTTTTGCATAGCATCCTCTTCTTTGGAACCTTACGATATTGGTAACTGGGGGAGTGGGGGTGGGCGCAGATACAGTTTCTTTAGTGAGATTCCATTTCAGCATCTAGGCTTAAGGTTATCATAGGTTACTACCATTTAGATTTGGATTTTATGCTGATTACTGCCTACCAAGCTAAAATTATGGCCCATAATTAAGGGAGAAAGTGGTAATAGACATTGTACCACATGAAATAAACAGACAGAATTTAGTCATTAAAATTAGTGACTGACCATGCATGACGGTCATTCTCTTCTAACTCCTCCTGGGAGCTTGGACAATCCCAGGATTGTGGGGATTATCAGGGAAACTCAAAATGTTGCTATGTTTTGTAAAGGAGTAGAGGACATATCCTGGGATGGGGGACAGTGGAAGAGGCCCAGTTTTTGTTATTGCTGCATTCCAGCAATTCAAAACATTGTTAAAAATAACATATCCCTTCTTGTCAGCATGAACTGCTCCTTCCCTAACCCCCACAGTGGTCAGCTCCTACAAGGAAGTTTATTGTTTAGAAGAATGGCCTTGCCACATCAAATAAAACAATGGGTTTTCAAAGAAACAGCTACAAGCTTATCAAGGCTATCATTCATCTAATTATGGTGGGAGACATCAGTTTCTTATATGACAGTTGTGTGTACAAGAGTCATTGCATAGCCATAAAACCTAAAGACAGGCGAGAGTTCAAGTGGTATCTGTATGGTGGCTGTTTTATTTATCTTGGGGACAAATTTTGTTTACTCAGGATAAACGCAATACCAGACAGTGACATCTGTTTCTCCCCTGACGGATTTTTGAGTGGGCCGTGTTAATAAGGGTAAGATGGTAAGATAGTTTCTTTCCCTCTCATCATCAGAGTTCAAAATAGGCAATGAAAATCTGTTTCTTCTTCAGAATACCCAAACCACCTTTCTTGAGTTCTGGAATGGTCATGAGCAATCTCTTGGGATTTTGGTATGAACCTTATTCTCTTTATTCTCTTTATCAACAAAACTTAACCACAGCTAGCTTCTCAGAGATGGGTTAGGAGTCATAGAAGATGACTAATAAAATACTTGGTAGTCCTTCGATGAACAGCAACAGTAATAGATACTTTAAAAAAATCTGCTCTTTGGTCAGCCTCATGAAGTCATTGGCTGTCTTTACAAACATATAGATTTGCTCCAGTTGAGTTGTCTTGGAACCTGGGGGCAGGAGGTGGCTTATTTAAACTGTCATTGTAAAAGTGATCCTGTTTCCCATCTTCTGTCTGGGAGATATGATGCTGGGGAAGAAAAAGAACATTCCCCTGCCCAAGCTGGCATTTTCTGAGGGAGGCAGAGTTGCTACCCCTTTTTCATTCATAACCAGTTGGAAGATAAGTCAGCAAGAAATAGGAAAGAGCCTTCGGAGATGAGCAATCACGGGTCATGCTGGACTGAGATTGTTGGAGGGGGGACCACGGAGTGTTTCCCTCCTAGGGACAGGGGCATTCCGCTGTGGTTTTCTCTGTCATAGGATGTACAACTGTAAATTTTAGTATTACCAAAAAATGATATTTGTGATGCCATATCACTCGTATAAACTATAGACATGGCAGGAGAGAGTGTTCCCCCATGCCGATTGATATTGCTGATGGCACACAACTGGACAGTGTTTCAGAGCCGGCTTGACAGCAACCGACCACAATGAAAACATCGGATGTACTAAGTTACTTTGTAGGGTTTATTTCTGATAAAGGGAGACAGTTGCGCTGACGAGATGCATTTGCACCATGTCTTCCTCCAAGGACCTCCAACTGATGCACAAGAAGGATTGGTGGTAGGAGGGGCAGCGGGCATCGAAAGAGAAACAACATTTATTCTCTGCTTATTATAGACTTTGGGAGGATGCAGTAGGTGCTTGCCATATGTTGATAACGGTGATGGTGGAAGGATGCAGCTAACAGTTCATGGGTCCTTATGATGTACAGGACACAGTTCTAGTGTGTGATAGGCTTTGTCTCATTGAATCCTTATAGAATCCCTAGGGTAGTTACTTCTACCCTACATAAAGGGTAACAAAGGCAGAGGGGTGATGGCATTTTCTCAGGGTCATCTAGCTGGTCTGTGTCTGAGCTGGCACAGAAGGAACACAGCTCGGATGTTCAATTCTGCTCTCTTTCAAGAACTACACATTGCACCCACCGTGAAGTAGATCATACATCAAGGAGGGTGAATCTCTGTCTATTAAGAGAGATGAAATCTTTTGTTATAAAGCTAAAATTTCGAGTTAAAAATTACCTTTGCAGAGATCTAACTGTGGGTGTGAGTTCTGACCGTAACCTAGTGTCTAGGTGAACATAAAAATTCTAGGCCTTTTAGAAGAGGCTGATGCTGGGTCAGAAGTTTATAGCGGCAGATTTCTGCCTCTCTCCTTCACTCTGCCCATGTTAGAGTGTCCTCCCTAATAGGGGGCCCCCCCAACTGCATATGGGAAACATGACAAAAGCCCTGTCAGAGTGTTGAGCCTTAACACTTATTTTATAAATGGCGGGGTATCAGAAGACCTCAGAAGACCCCTGCAGCTGCTGATGGAATTGCAAGGCAGGACTAGTTGGGAGTTTCTTGGCGGCTGGCTGCCGTGGTGCTGTCAGGGGCTCAGGTCAGCTGCATTTGGTGGTGGTTTTTAGCGTCTATGTCGTGAGGACAGGAAAGGGCCGAAACTTGGCGTCCAAGCATGTTAGGCCAGCAGGGTGAAACCGACCACTACTGAGTGAGGGGCAATGCCCTTCTGTCTGTCCTCCAGGTACTTGTTTTGTTGATGACTACCTTCTCAGCAGGTCCCTGGATGGCACAGAGGTTTGCATTTGACTAGAATCTTAAGGTTGGTAGTTTGAACCCACTCCAGAAGAAATGCCTGACCATCTGCTTCGATTAGTGTTACGGCCACGAAAATCCTACGGAGAAGTTCTACTGTGTGATGCGTGACCTTGCCGTGAGTTGGAATCGACTGGATGACAATGGGTTTATATTCTCAGCCCCTAAGCAATCGCTGGCACATAAAAGGACCCAGCAGAGATCCGATGGCTGATTGAACCCTCAGGTTTAGAGCAATGTAGAGTCCTTCTATGAAACTTCAAAAATACACATGGGTCATAGTGGCCCTACAGGACAGAGTAGAACTGTCCCTGTGGGTTTCTGAGACTGTACATCTCCATAGGAGGAGAAAGCTTCGTCTTTCTCTCCAGGAACAGCGAGTGGTTTCAAACTGCTGTCCTTGTGAGTAGAAGGTCAATGTGTAACTCCCTTCACCACACATGGTTGCAACGAGTCAGAATCTATTTGATGACAGTGAGGTGTTTGGGGGCATTTTTTGGGTGCATGTAGATTAACTAGGGATTGAGTTGAAATTCAGATTCCGTTACCATGGGTCTAGAGTGAAACCTGAGATACTGCATTTGTAACTAGCTGCCTGGTGATGCTGACACGGCTGGTCACAGACCTCACTCTGAGCAGTAAGGGGGAAAGGGGCAGCTGCGCCTTCCTGGGTACCTGCTATGTGCCAGACATAGTATTTATGAGGATTACACATTACTTCATGTGATTATTACAAAGATTAGTTAGGTAGATACCCTAGCCCAATCCACGTCTGCAAAGGGGCTTTAAATATGTTCAGGGAATTGTCTCTAGTCCCAAAGATAATAAGTGACAGTGCTAGAGATCACTTTGGAAAACAAAAATAAGTCCCATGCAAATGTAAGACATTATTATATTTTTAATCACTTTATCTATATTCAAGGTTGGCAATGATCAAAGATCACCTGGTGGTGCATCAGTTTATACCAGGACTTCATTAATGAGTTTTTCACTCTGCATTTTAATGAGAGGTTATTTATCAAAATGTCTCTCCCCATGAGAGAAAGGCGAATCACCCCGACAGGAAATCTAGTTAAGGGTGATCAGTCTCATTGGAAAGATGTTCAGGACTGAGGTGCGAGTGTGTGTGATGCAAAACGTGTCGGCTCCTGTAAGATCTGATAATCCATGATAGCCATCTGCTGCACCCCAGGTGCTTGGGTGGGGGAGGGGGTTGGTAGGGGGATGGAAAGGAGAAGCTCTGGACAAGAGACCTCCCATCCCAGTGCATAAGCAGGGAAGCTTTTCATCAACATCCGCTCAGCTGGCAGTCAGGCAACAGGGGGCTCTTCGCTGATATCAAAAGTGCTTAGCGGTGAAAAGGAGTCTGGAAGGATTAAAGACCATAAATAATCATTTTTTAAGAGTCAAGAAATACAGGATGAATCGGTAGCTCCCAGGAAAGGAGGCTGGCATTGAGCGGTCATGCGCCAGTGACCCTGGCTTTGAACAGAAGGCTTGAAAGGGAACATAGCCACAGTCTTCCCAGAAAGCTGTCCCATGGGTTGTCCACTTTGACGCAAACCGATCCTCAGTTCCCCACTCAGACATTTTAAAATAGGTTCATCTTTCTGGGGTCTGCATCGTTCCTGAGTGTTCTGGGTCCTTGCATGCCCACTTTGCAAGGTACCACACCTTATCTTTCCTTCCTGCCACCCTCACCTTGAGCCCACCAGGGAAGGAGGGAATTTGCTACATTGCCAAGCACAGCTCCGGCAATTCCATTAGCCTGTGGGCTCCCAGCCCAACTGGTTCCCCTGCTCTCTTGCTTCAGGGATTCAGAACCAATGAGAGAAGACACAAGGGAGCGGAGCCTCTACAACCCCAGAGAGAGCTTCCAACTTCACCCTTTTTTCCACCCTTCTTTCAATCTTCAGAGCTAGTGGTGCATCAGCATTGGCAGGGAAGACCCAGCCCCTGGTTTGGAGAGGTGTGGTGCTGACAGATGGCTGGCACATTGGTCTCTGTCACTACCTAAAAACAAGCAACTTACTTTCTTGCAAGGTGAAATCCATGTAGAAGAGATTGAAGTTTGTAAACTTCTCGAGGCTTGCGATCTTTTTCAGTGTGCCGGAGAGTTGTGCTGCTCTCTGGGTACAAGGGAAACAGGATTCCGTGAAGGACAGTCTTTGACGTCAGGGAGATAATTCAGGCAGAACAATGGCACCCATCATCAGCATCCCTACCCCACTGCTCTGGCTCTAAGTCCTCATCAGGGATCCCTGGTGGGTCAATGGTTCAGCAGCTCGTCCAGAGGTAAGCAGTTAGAACTCACCAGGAATTCCGTGGGAGAACCTCTCCCACCTCCCCCCATAGCGCACCCGTGATCCTCTCCTGTAAAGATTACCTAAAAAACTTGACTGCCATTGAGTCAATTTTGACTCATGGTGACCCTATAGGATGGAGTAGAACTGCCTTTGGGGATTTCCAAGACTGTAATTGTTTACAGGCATAGAAAGCCTCCTCTCTCTCTCTCTCCCCCACAAAGTGGCTGGTGGTTTTGAACTGGTGACCTTGTGGTTAACAGCCCATCTGGTAACCCATTCTATCACCAGGGCTCCTGTAAAGATTAAAGCAAATCATGCCATCAAGTCAATGCTGACTCGTAGTGACTCTGCAGGACAAGGTAGAACTGGCCCTGTGAGATTCTGAGACGGGAAATGCTTGCAGGAGTAGAAGGTCTCATCGCTCGACCACGGAGTGGCTGGTGGTTTGGAACTGCTGCTCTTGTAGAGAACAGCCCAACTCATAGCCTACTCCACCACCAGGGCTCCTGTAAACATCACACCCTAGGAAACTCTGTGAGGCAATTCTGCTCTGTCCTATAGGGCTGCTATCCTTTGGAACCGACTCAAGAACAACTTGACATCAGCTGACTATAGCTCTGAACATTAAATCCTACCAGTGCACAAATGACCAATGAATATACGAGAAAAGTAACAGTCGTTAGAAACCAAGTCTTAAGTGCAAACTTTTCACTCGTGAGATTCTCAAGAAGATGAAGAGTTGCAGCAATCCAGTTTGGTGGACAATCGTCTCGATGTGAGTGAGGGAGGGGGCCGGAGTGGAGACCCAAAGCCCATCCGTGGACAATTGGACATCCCTCACAGAAGGGTCACAAGGAAGAGACAAGCCAGTCAGGGTGCAGTAGAGCGCCGATGAAATATACAATTTTCCTCTAGTTCTTTAGTGCTCCCTCCCGCACCCCACTATCATGACCTTATAAATCTAGAGCATGTACATTGGTACAGACAAGAGCTCGCAACACAGGGAATCCAGGACAGGTAAACCCGTCAGGATGAATAATGAGAGCAGTGATACCAGGAGGGGAAGGGGGAGAAAGGGAGAACCAAACACAATGATCAAAACATATAACCCCCTCCCAGGGGGACAAACAACAGAAAAGTGGGTGAAAGGAGACAGCGGTTGGTGTAAGACATGAAAAAAACCCACCCCAATTTATAAATTATCAAGGGTTATAAGGCAGGGAGGATGGGGGAAATGAGCTAATACCAAGGGCTCAAATAGAAAGAAAATGTTTTGAAAATGATGGCAACGTATGTACAAGTGTGCTTGACACAATAGACGTATGTATGGATTGGGCTAAGAGCTTTAGGAGCACCCAATAAAATAATTAAAAAGAAAAAACCAAAATGCCGGTTGTTTAAACCTCTCTGGAAAAGAGCCTCACAATATGAATCAGTCTTGAAAGACGAGTAGCTCTTTGAGCTGGTAGCTTGGCCTTCAAAATTTGTCTTCAGGAAATGCACATGAAGATACGTGTTATAAGAAGGGTCATCGGGCTGCTCTTAATCCGAGTGATGCAATGGGGAGAAATCTACACATCCAACTCCAGGAAGGAAGGAAATCATGGTGCCTTCATATAGGGAACGCTATAAATCAGTGGTTCTCAACCTTCCTAATGCCGCAACCCTTTAATACAGTTCCCCATGTTGTGGTGACCCCCAACCATAAAATTATTTTCGTTGCTACTTCATAACTGTAATTTTGTTACTGTTATGAATTGGGCAACTGCTGTAAAAGGGTCATTCAACCCCCAAAGGGTTCACGACCAACAGGTTGAGAACTGCTGTCAGTGGTGTGTAAGTATGGATACTATGAAGGCAACGAATGAAAATCATATTAGAAGGACATATATACATATAATCAAACCACCTGCTATCAAGTTGATTCTGACTCACAGTGACTCTTTCTCTATAGGACAGAGTAAACCTGAGCCTGTGGTTTTCCAAAGCTGTAACTCTTTATGGGACCAGAAAGCTTCATCTTTCTCTCTTGGAGCAGTTAGTGGTTTTGAAGTGATGAGCCCGTTGTTAGCACTCCAATTCATAACCCACTTGTGGTAGTTACATAATCTGGTGACAATTTGGGACTTGAGAGGATTAAGAGTGAAGGGGTGGAGTCTAGTCTGTCAATCGGATCATAGCCAATGAGGCCTCTGTGTGGGCATGGCCTTCTCCTGAGAATTCTGGAAAATCTGGAATTTCTTCCTTGGAGGTGGGAGACACACTCTCTCTTGGCTCACTCTCTTGGAGACGCTCACTCCCTTGAAGACGCTGACAAGACATGGCACTATGCTGATAGACCCCATGTCCTGGGAACTGGAGGAGCCACATGGAGACCTCTGTCAGTGCTGATATGCTTCTATCGCCACTGGATCCACAAGACTTTGCATCCACTGACCTGTCATTGTCCTGCATATGGCATCATTGCCTGTGTTTTGTGAGTCTGAAGAGGACTTTATAGATTGGTATCGGACATATGGGCTAATATCAGACTTATGGACTTGATCTGGACTGGGATGGGATGTGTTTTCAATATTCAACGGCTCTTGTATCTAAAGTTCTTTCTTATACATATATGAGTATCTATGAATTTGTTTCTCTAGTCTACCCAGACTAACACACCTCTACTCCACCAGGGATTTTTACAAATGACCTGAGAGAGTGGGAGCTTGATGATTTTATCATTGCTTTCTGTGCTTTTGATTCGATTCTCCAACTTTCTTTTGGTCATGGCAACAGCAGAAGTCCTTAGGTGGTGCCAACCTTTGATGTGCTCAGTTACAAACAGAAAGGACGGAGGTTTGAGACCACCAGAGGTGTCTTGGAAGGATGTCCTGCTGATCTTAGAGATATTTGGAAACCTCTGGAGGCAGTTCTGTTCAGATGCTGGAGATATCTACACGAGTCGGAGTCATCTCCATGGTAGCGGCTCTAGGTTTGTGGTCATTGGAAAGCTACTCCAATAAATAGTTTTCAAAGAGTTCATTTCCCAAAGGCGAAAGGTGAGCCTTTTGCTTGTGCAATGTATTCCCTCTGAGAAGAGAGCGAGGTTTCAAAGTACCTGGTCTTCTCTTGCCTCAATTCTCCAGCCATTGGTTAGGCTTACCCTTACTTAGCTCTCTCCATCTCTACAAATAGGTTTAGGACCACTTTAAAAGGGGTGTGTGTGTGTGTGTGTGTGTGTGTGTGTGTGCGCGCGCATACAAGAGAGAAACGCAGAGACAGAGTGACAGAGGGACCAGAAAGAGACAGAGGAGTAGAGAGAGGGCACACACACCCTCTTCCTCACTCCAGCATTTGGAAGTTGTTTTCACTAGCTTAGAGACAGCCACTCTGCTCGACAGTCTCATCCCCAGTGAAAACACTGCAGAAGACACAGGCCAAGATGCTCAGAGTTGGCATCACAAGGACTGCGACTGTCATACCTCTGACGTCAGAGCCCGGAGTGTCTCATTGGCAGACATCCAGCCTTGGCAAGGGTTGACCTGGGAGAATGGAAACATGGCTGATTAAAGGGGACCTGTGACAGGTAAGAGGGAGGGTAACATTGGGAGAAGAGAATGCAAGGTGGGAGCTCACCTGGAGGCAGCTCAGGAAGGAGTATAATTGCGCATAGGTCACGTCTTTATTTAGCTGGCCTGGAAGACAGAGAGGTCTTGGATGTCACAAGCAGTGAGAGACTTCTCCCCTGCAGACAGTGGCACAGACAGGATGTGCCCTGGTGGTGCATTCAGCTTCATGTGCATTCCTTCCAGTCAGACCCAGAGCCTGGGAGGGACCCGAGGAGTTCATGCCCACCTAGAGCACTCGGTGTGGGCCAGGGGGGCTTAGGGACCTGACTCCAGGGATGAGGGAGAGGAGCATGCAGCAGATAGAGACCAGGGCAAGAGGACATGGGGTGGTGGTGGTGCAAAGGGTTAATAGCCTGGGCTGCACACCGAAAGGTAGGAGGTTCAAGTCCACTCTGAGGCACCGTGGAAGAAAGGCCTGTCAATAAACTTCTGAAAATGCAGACATTGAAATCCCTAGGACACACAGTTCTAATTGGACACAACTGGGATCTCCATGAGTTAGAACGGACTCAACGGTGTAGCTGTTGGTTTTAAAAATATATATTTTAAAACTCCTCATATGAGCCCAGAATAACTCTGACAAAGACTTCAAAGAGCTGCAGTTTCTCCCAGCCATATATGAAATGTCAGGTGCCCGTGGGGGTACCAAGAGCATTCAAGGTGGCTGTTGACCAAATCTCTCTCTCCAATTTAGGGAACACCCTGATCTCACCCGTCCAAAGACCTGGCAGGAATTTACGGTCATGCCAAACCTGTAACTCGATGAACTAAAGGTGCTACTTTATCTGCTAAGACTTTGTATTGGTTGCTGCTTTGCCTCCGAGCATTGCTCCAGTGGCTCCTGGAATAGGGTGGCCATCACTTTAAGTATTCCTCCATGGCACTGGATGAGGCCTTGGAGATTTAGTGGGAGAACTCTTGCCCTCCACGTGGGAGATCCAGGTTGGGTTCCTGGCCAGGGCACCGTAGGTGCAGCACCTTCGTCTGTCAGTGGAGCCTTTGAAAATCAGCCAGTGAAAAGCCTATGGATCACACCAATCAGTCATGGGGATGGCCCAGGACCTGGCAGCATTTCATTCTGCTGTCTGTGGCATCACCAAGTGTGGAAGGCCGACTCCACTATAGCCAACAACGATAGCGTGGCCCTAGATGGAGGATCGCTCAGAGGAAATCTTATTTGATCTCCCTTTAGCAGATCATGTTCATGCATTCAATTTTTGACATAGGTGAACAAGGTACGTAAGAATAAAGAAAGGTCCCTAGGTGGCATTCATTGCTTCAGTTTGAACCCATCCGGTGGTAGCATGAAAGAAGCCTGGCCATTGACTTCCATTAAGATGACAGTCACGACAAGCTCCTGGAGCAGTTCTATGCTGTGAGACACGAGGTGGCCTCGAGTTGGGATTGATGCAGAGACAATAAGCAACAACAATAGCCAGAATCAAGATGATTAGCACCATGGAAGCAGCAGCCAAGAAATCAAACGATGGGTTGCGCTGGGTGAATCTGCTGCTGCAAAGCTCTTTAGAGGGCTTAAGTGCAATGGTGTTACTTGAAGGGATAAAGTCACCGAGCAAACCCATAGTATTTCCAATCGCCTTACAAGCATATAAAAGCTCGACTGTGAATAAGGAAGACAGCAGAATATTTGATGCGTTTGAAGTATGGTTTGGGGACAGAATGTTGAACATATCACGGATTGCCAGAAGAACAAACAAATCTGTCTTGGAAGAAGCACCGCCAGAATGTCCTGGAAGCTTGGGAACGTGTTAGCCGAATACGAATCTGATGCTGCCATGCTGTTGGCGTGAAGGGCCTTCGGTCCCCACTCACGACCCCACGTACACCTGAACACAGCACTGCCTGCTCCTGCTCCGCCCTCACCATGGTGGTTCTGCACAGGCCCACAGCTGGAGCCACTGTGACAATCCAGCTCCTCTTTGGAGAGACCAGGGAGACTTCGCCTCCTATACTTTGGAGGTGCTATCAGTAGGGACCAGTCCCTTACAAAGGGCACTGAGCTTTGGTAAAGTAGAGAGAGGGTCAGTGAGAAAAACAAACATGGAGACCCTCAAGGAGCTGGCTTCATACAGTGGCTGCAGCAGTGGGCTTACGCATAACAATAATTGTGAGGATGGTGCAGGGCCGGGCAGTGTGTTGTTTGGGAGTACATGGGGTCATGAGGCGTGGGAACCTGTGCCAACCAACCACAGCAACCATCTGAGCGTATATGTGCCATCACGTGGAGCTTTCTCAAGCCTCAGCAGCAGACCCATACCAGTGGGGCCCATTTCCTCCCTCTTGCAGTTGATCAGGTACACTGGTACCTCTGCCTCTCTCCTCTGCTCCAGCATCCCCACCCCCAGAGCAATCCAACGTGCTTGCTGCAGCGGAGACATAAAATATAGGCTCCTGAGTCTCAGGGGCGAGCGACTGGTGCTGTATCCATTAACACTTACGACACGCTCGCAAAATAAAGGGAAATAATAGGAGCTATCTCAGAGCAAAGAGAAAGATTGAAGGTGATGGAACACAGTCTTATTTTTCACTTAGACCGCAGATCAGTTAGACTGAAAGAGAGATTCAATTTTCTTGTCAGAGAGAAAAAAAATATATGATCTCTCTGTGTGGGCGAGTGAATCCCCAGTTGGGACCCACAGGCTTATTACCACCATGGAAGTCACAGGGACACAGCAGAGCCGTCTCGGCTCTGCAGATGCTTCCCAAGCCACCAGGCTCTCCTCCTGCCTTCAGCTCTAGGCCCCGCTCTCCCCCGGCTGGTCCAATTGGACCGGGTCATTCAAGGGAAATCCTTAGTGGGTGTAGATCAGCCTGCGGAACAGGAGAGAGGTGCGTCGGGTTGCTGGAGATAAGTGGAGAGGTGTTAGTGAATGAGCTGGCTTCTCCTCTCTGGTATCTCTGCCTGCTGGAGAGTGGGTGGCTCTGGGGCTGGTCCCGTGGGAGGCTACTTGCTGGAGAGGGGCTCATGGTTTTAAGAAAGGGAAGTGGCTATTTTTTGTTATTCTTATGCCAATCGGTCATCCAATCTCTCTGTAGGCATTGCTTTCTATTCTTGCTGCATCAATGGCATTTTGTAATATTGAGGAGCCCTGGTAGAAAGAGGGATGGCTACTCATGTGTCATACATCAGACAACAAGTGACGTGTATGTGCGTCTCCCCGATCAGAGCAGCTAATCAAATTAAGAGAGTTGATCAGCCATTTCCAAGGGTGGAGCTGAAGTGCTGTCCCACTGTGGCCAGAAGCTAGCCAACTAACCGGAGGCCAGAAGGCCCGTGTGGGGGGTGGGGGAGCCAGAGGCTGAACCTCTGGGCACTCCAGGCACCCTCCAACGATGAAAGGACACGTCCTACCCTAGCTGGCTGCAGTCGAAGTTGGTGTCTCAGTAATTTGTCAGTTCTTTAGGGCAGCTCTTTGGTATTTATTTAATGCTTGGAACATAATCGAAATTTTGGCACCATAAAAACTGAGTACCAACGAAGATGAGTCACCTCTCCGTGAATGTATTAAACCTTAGTAAAACTGCATTAATTCAGACTCAGGGAGAGGCAGCCACAAAATATAACTGACAAGGTATTTTAAAACACTCGAAATGAAACTTTTTTTTTTGGCCAGAGATTCTGCAAGGAAGAGCTTCTTACAGGCTTATTTAGCAATCATTAATCCCCAACGACCCCCCGAACAAACTCCCATAGCTTGTACTGTCGCTGTGGTTACGTGGTACTGTAACTGTACTGTCGGGATCTAGGTAGTATTTTTTCTTCTTTCTTGTTTGAGGACAAGGCTTCCATCTTCGGATTCTCTTTATTCCTAAAGCACACAATAGGGACCACAGATAGATTATGCAATGCTTGTATTTTTTTTATAGGCTGTGTCTGCCTAAGGACTCATGACTAGTCAGGCCTGGCTTTTTCCACGTCCTCCCAGAAGATCTAGGCCACTGGAACCCTAATGCAGGATCCGTCCTCCCTGGTCCTTCCTCGCAGAGGAAAGAACCTCTCACCAGACATCGCTGCCGCTAGAGAGTGTGGGGTCCATCACAGCTCTTGCAGTGGGGCACAGACTGGTCAGTGATTTACAGACCTGGCTGACGTGCAGCGATGCAGGAGGGAACTGGGAGCCCGGTTTGTTGTTGTTGTTGTTGTTGTTGTTGTTTGTTTGTTTGGGGTGCTTATTAGTCTGACAGATGCTGTGGTGGTTAACCATTTCTTTGCTGAATGATCCGATGGAGCCTCTGCCTGCCCTGCTCGAGGGAGAACAGGCAACTGCACAGCAAGAGCAAGTGACTAATCTCCTCTCCCCCTTTCGTGCCACACAACCCTTGGCAACCCCCCGCCCCCCACCGCCAGTGTGGCTACTGATTAAGGTGACAACAACTCAGTTTCAGATTATCCAATAAGCAAGGTAATTACCCAGTAAGTAACCCTTACTTACTAATCTGGAGCAAACAATTTCATACTTTTTCACCACATCAAAGGTCTGGCTGGCACCTGTCTCTCTCCCAACCCGAGACCATCTTCCAATGGAAATCAAAGTCTCTCTTCACATTTCAATCCCTGGAAGGGATGGAGTATTTACAAAGCCAGGGAAGCACAAGGTGACTTGTGTTTACTTAACTAATCTGTGGTGAACCGTTTTACAGGTTTGGGATGGGGAAATCCATCGGAGCTTGTTCACTACATCGGTTCTCTGGAGCAATGGCCAAAATCTCTGTTTTTAAATGTTCTCTGACAAGTCTGATGTCAACTCGGAGCTTAGAAAGCACCACAGCATGGAATCCTGGTACATGCAGACACACCCGAGAGGCACGGCTTTTCAGGGAATCGATCGGTCCCTGCTCATGGTGAGAATGAAGACGCAGCGGTTGGGGTGGAGTGGGAGCAGGCGAGGAGAGCACGTGGTTTCTCTCCTGGCCTTTCACCTCCCCTGGACAAGCTATGACGAGCCATGCAAAGTGTGGAAGAAGGAAGCTGGCCAAACCCCACCTACTCCCCCGGTCTGTCCAGGAAGGGCGGAGGTGCCTCACCAAGGAATTTATAATTTATTTCCCATGGCAACCAGGCAGCAGGGATAATTTAGGATGTGAGTAATAACTCCAAAACCTTAAACACAATTTAGGTGGTTGCACCTCCCCGTCTCAAACCAGGCCGTCCATACAGAGCAAAGCCCTCCCGCTGTCCCCCTCTTCTCCTGGAGTGCTGTGAGATGAACAGTGGCCTGACAGGGGACACGCAGGCAACACCGAGAGCAGGGTTTCCAACCAGGTCATGATTGACATGGGGGCCTGGATAACCCTTGGTTGTGTCTGGCTGTGGGAAGGGGGGAGGAGGGGGAGGTTTGACAACATCCCTGGCCTGAATCCACTAGACGTTAGCCATCAGTAGCAGCACCAGTTGCGGTGACCACTGAGGGGTTGGGTGGAGTAGATGAAATTGCCCCTGGTTGAGCACCATTGGCACGAAGAATCCACCAAAGTGGATGGTGAGCCCCCAAACTGCCCTTCTTCTCTCCTGGATGCCTTTCCAAACTGGTCTGGAGTCATTATTACATAACATAATAAGACAAAATCTAGCAAAAAACCAAACCAATTGCCATTGAATTGATGCTGCTGTGTTTCAAAGTAGAACTCCACCCTGCCGGGGTTGTCAAGGCTACCACCTTTCAGAAGTACAATGCCAGGCTTGGCTCCTGAAGTACCTTTGGCTGGATTCGAACCACCAACTTTTCAGCTAACAGTTGAGAGCATCACCTCTGCACCAGGTGGTGTTAGCATGTCTGAGGAGGAGCAGGATCATAGTTCTACTAGCAGGAGGGATATCCTTTCCTCCTGAGCGGCTGGGCAGAGTTCGTTTAGATGCACACAAATGACTCAGGAGGAAAACGACTTCAGCCTTATTGGTGGGGGGCTGGATGTATCCTACATCTTCCCCACAATGGAGGGCCAGTCGTAGTCCTGGGAGAGCTGCTTGCAAGATCTGCATGCCTCTTGTGGAGAAGAGTGGGAGTTACTGAGGGAAGAGGGAGGGTGATGGGCTTGTGTGGGGACAAAGGGAGATTGAAAAGATCCAGAGAAGTTAAATATGCAGGTGACAACCCTCTGATGCTCTCAACCGTGAAAGTTTACTGTCCTCTTCCCGCCCTTGAGGAGGGTGCTAAGAGCTGAGTTTCAGGTCTTCCTCCTTTGGATTGCCCCCATAACTCCAGAGAAATGGATTGGACCTCCAGAATGGTTCGTTTTAGTTGGTCTACGTAGATGGGTACAGTGGCATGAGGGTGGGCTTTCTACTTCACTGGCAGAGGTGCTGTTGATAGGGGGCTGAAGGAGGGGGCCTAGGTTTCTTCTGGTAGGTAGTCCTCAGAGAGGATGAGGCTAGCTAAGCCCTTTCCTGCTTAATTATCTTCCTGTAACACTGACTACCTTCGTACATACACTGGGTTTTTTCTCCTATGAGAATACAAGCCCAATGTGGGCAAAGGTGCATGGCTATTTGTCCACTGTCATTTACCCCAGGCCTAGGAGAGTGGCCAGCCCACAGAGGGCACATAACAATGAACTTTTGAAAAGAAAACTCTCTCATGAAACGCAGGAAGCAGAACCCTGCCACACCCAGCTCATGGTGGCCATGAGTGGTGCATCATCCTGAAGTCCCTGGGTGGAGCAGATGGTTACGCTGGGCTATGAACTGAACTTTTGTCATCAGCGCCCCGACTTCTCTTTCAACTCCTTCGTTTTTAACTTGGGAAATGGAATTCATTCATTAAAATACTCACCTCTCCAGCTGCTTTAAGCATCAGTCCGGCAGCCCCCCATATGTGAATTGCCACCGCTTCTGCAATGTTTGGAAAACACTTGGCCTGCTGGAGCAGTCCCTGGACGTTCCTGGGGACCTTTCAGGCATTTGGGAGTCAAGTGCCTGCAAGCATAGCCTCAAGGAGTGATTCCAAACTGGCCACGAGGGGGCACTGCCCTTATTTCCATTGAGGGATGGAGAAATCCCTCCCTTGGACTCAGCGCTCTCTCTTTGTGGGTTTCATCAACTCATCCCCTATCTCACTTTCGGTAAAGAGAGCTCCTGATTTAAGCTCTTACCTTTCAATTGGTCTTAATTCTTCCGTAAGTACTTCTGCCCTTTCTGGCTTTGGGCCTGACTCTGCCCATCTTTGGGTACTGACCTTTCGACACACTGCCTGAGGCTCTTCTGCTCACCAGTTAGGCCCCATGAAGTGGGACAGGCAACAGTGTGAGTGTGCATTGCTGTACCACCCGAAGTGTGTGGATACCAGACTCGGTGCGCACCAAACCCCGTCTATATGGCGATGTTGTTAAGTGGTAAAACAGCCAGATACCAAGGGGATGATATCGGTCGTGCAGATGATCCCAGAGGAAGGTTCCGTCCGCTAAGCCGTAGAACACAACATGGCTGCCGTTGGGCAGGTGGGAATTTAGATGCTTCAGAGTCTGTGTGACTTTGGAGTACAATTGCTCAGGAGTGGTCATTTTGGGGACTGGATCAGTGTGCCTGTTAGTGAAAAAAGAACAACAAAATGACCAGAATATACTTTAGTAGATTATAAGGCCAAATACATGAAATACAAGATAGACTGCACACACACACACACACACACACACACACACACACACACTTGTGCTCTTTCTCCGGTGGTGGTTTGTGCTGCATGCAACATATCCCTGCCTCCACTGTTCAGGAACATGGTAAAATTGCTCCCCCTGATGCCTTTGTGATTGGCTGGGCCATGTGACTAGTTCTGGCCAATGAGGAGCTGTGACACATGTCATTTGGGGGATGTGAAAACACCTGGAACACTCTCTTTCCCATCCGCTGGTGTGGACAGTGAGTCCCCAGGTGGGATAAGTGGTTCGTGTGTCTTCCACTGCTGGAACCCAGTTAGCCAGGCCGTAGAAGCCAGGCCCGGTGCTCAGCTTCAATAAGGATCACGGCCGAGAAAACCCCACGGAGCAGTTCTACTGTGTGACACCTGGGATCACAGGCATGTGGCATCCGTTCGATGACAGTTTTCCTGAGGCCGGCAGCAGCACTCCATGCTGATGCTTGGTGGACATACCGTGTGAGTGAGAAGTCAACGATTGCTGCTTTATGCTAGGGCTCGCTTCATTCCTGCAGCATAAGCTCGCCTGTCCTGACTGATACGCACAGCTAACGGAAGCCAAAGACTCTTGTATTTCTATTTGCTAACACGTGGAAATCGGCAGCATCCTTCACATAGATCACAGCGAGGGAAACAGAATCTCACCGAGAAATGAAGTTCTATTATGTGTCCACACTCGGTTCCTCCTTCCTACACATTGAATTTGTACTTTGTTGAATTGCCTGATAGATGACTCCACCAGGCTATTGCCCTGCAGCGTTATCTGCCAGCAGGCAATTACATTTTGCATCACTGTCTTTGTCTATGGAGCAGTGCTTGTACTCTCTAGAGGATGTTTGGGTTTTTAAAATCATATTTTTCTCTTCTTGTTTCATAGAATTTAGTAAACACAAAAAGAGAACATCCTGAAAGGGGCGATGCAAAAACAGATCTAAGAATCAAAGCAGCTGAAGCAAAGATGGAACTCATAAGTGAATACGAGAGGCAACTATTTCGGTTCAACCAGACACGTACTGAATTTCAGTCGGTTAGTTGGGTTTCCATTGGTGTGAAAAAGAACAAAGTAAAGACATTTAATCAAAATTCGTTTCTGTTCTTAAAGCCACTTATTCAAGGTATTTCTGTTACAGCGGAAAGGAAGGTGGGGATGTTTTGCTTGATTTGCATACGCACAGGCGCCCCCCCACCCCCCACCTCCCTGAGTGAAGGGGATCTTAGTTGCCTTGTGGATTCATTCAGACCAAGAACACCTGCCCAGGTAACTGGGGCTTATGTTTACTGTGCGTTTGAAGTGTGACCACCAGGGCGAAATGAATGTCAAGCGAGGTGTTTAGAGCTTGTCCGCTGTGGCTGAAAGAGCTAGCACACACTGTCCCGCCACTTTTGCCTTGGCCTCCTCATTGTTGTTGTTGTTGTTGTGTTTCTGGCACAATACTTGGGATCAAAGCAATTATGTTGAGCATAGTTTCTCTTTCGGGAGCCCTAGTGGCATAGTGGTTATGCACTGGGCTGCTAATCACAGTGTCAGCAGTTCGAAATCACCAGCTGCTTCTCAGGAGAAAAATGAGACATTCTACTCCTGAGAAGAGTTACAGTCTTGGAAAACCATGGGGGGCAGGTTTACCCTGTCCTTGAGGATCACTTGAAACCAGAATCAACTCCACGGTGGTGTTTGGGTTTCTGGAAGGTTCACAGAAAGGCAAGATGAATTCAGTCTCCCAAACTCCCAATTGAGTCATCATCCTGATTCTTGTCGTTAGAGGCACCACTCTCATGATAAACAAGTTTGTATTTATGAAGGGCACCCCTCAAATCAAGAAAATACAATTGTTACCAGATGCGGTTCTGGTCTTACGGAGAAAGACTTGGTTTTGGAAGACACAGGGCGATGGGGAGACTTTTATCAGAGGAGGGAGAAAAGGCTGTCCAGCCAGTATGGCCAGAAGCAGCATCTCGTGCTCCCCAAGTGTGCATCTGGAGCTTCTTAAAGGCTCCCACTGGCACGATGGTCTCAGGACTTTTCAGCTGGGCATGCTGTTTCCACTAGATGATGTCAGCGGAACAGGAGGTTCTGGGCGATACAGTCTCTAGGGTGAGATACAGTCACGGCACCCCGAACACGCTCTGTCGGGGTCTCCCCTTTGTGTCAATAATCAAACAGCTTCTTATGAAGTGGAGTCAAAATGGAAGACTTGGTGTTGCTAACGGAACACTCTCCGCCAGTTTTGCTCGGTCAGGTACAGCTACAGACTTGACCCCCATGCACTGTCATCCGTGTCCACATGCACTGTCAGTTGTCTGGCAATATTAACCAGCACAGAGGGTCTAAATGGCAGTGGTGAGTGTTTCTCTTCTGGGTGCCCTGAATGATGTCTTCTGACTTCTGTCCCTGAAAAACTCTCAGTGCCCTTTGGATCTGTGTGATTTTTTTCTCCAGCCTTTTTTTGGGAGGGGGAGGACTTTAGCATCTGCAAGTGTAGTGGTAGCCCAGTTAGTAGAATATGTAACTTCTATTTGGGAGACAAGGAGCTCTGGATGCTAATCACAAGGTTGGTGGTTCAAACCTACCGTCCACTCTGAGGGAGAAAGAAGAGGCTGTCTGCTCACTTAGAGGTTAACATCTCAAAAACACCCAGGAGCAGTTCTACTCTGTCCTATTAAGACACCACTAATTGGAGTTGACTTGAGGGCAGTGGGCTTTCTTTGGGAGACGTGGGTTCATTTCTGGCCAACACTTCACCAGTTTATCCTTGGGGGCTTGTGTGTGGCTGAACAGGTTTCAGTGGTGCTTCCAAACTAAGACCAAGCTCACCAAAACCCCTGCTACTGAATCATATGGACTCATAGCGACCGTGTGGGACTCAGGAGAACTGCCCCTGTGAGTTACTAAGACTGTAACCCTGTACAGCAGCGGTTCTCAACCTTTGGGGGGGTCGAACGACCCGTTCACAGGGGTTGCCCGATTCATAACAGTAGCAAAATTATAGTTATGAAGTAGGAACAAAAATAATTTTATGGTTGGGGGGTCACCACCACATGAGGTCGTGGCATTAGGAAGGTTGAGAACCACTGCTCCACAGAGTAGAAAGCCTCATCTTTCTCCCATGGAGTGACTGGTGGCTTGAAACCGTTGACCTTGCAATTATTATTGCAGAGCTCCATGCAGACAAAGACAGAGTGAGGAGAGGCCTGGGAATCTCCTTGCAGAAACCAGCCAATGAGAACTGTATGCAAATGTCTGATCCCCGGTGTGTGGGGTCACCATGGACTGGGCTGACTCCTTGGCACCTAACAATGACAACATTAATATTGGTATTTTGAGAAAGAACATCAAATCTTGTCTCCCCCCACCCTCACCAGCCACTCCAATCTGTGCCAGTTTGGGAGCCCCAACCTGTTTGGTCACTATATCCTGGGACTTGTCTGAGGTCAGTCGGACACTGAATGGACCAAGTAGCAGAGAGTGGCACAGTCCTTCTCTATCTTGGCCTTCTGGAGCCTGTGGCCAGGTCCCCCTGCCAGTCCACCCCAGCACCCTGGACCCCTGTTCACCCACTACAGGACTCACACTCGTCCTGCAGACAGAGCGGTGAGGGCTTGGGAGGAGAAATGTGCAGCCCAGTCTGGGGGGATGATGGTGACCTCAGGGAAAATCACGACAGAGACGTGAGTACCACCAACCAACTCCTCTCACACATCCCGGGAGCACATGGCTGGGCTCTGATGGCAGAAGCAGCCTCCCCCCTTGGAGTGTCTCAGAAGCCTGTCCCTGTCCTAATGAATTGTGTCTGATCATGCAAAATAAGCCTCATTACTGGGGTGCAGGGCTGGCCACAGGCATTTCATTACCCTTGCAGGCCAGATTGCACCTTGCCCGATGCCAGAGAGATCTCCCCTATCTCAGGCAGGAGGGCAAACAGCCTCTGCCGAAAACTACGGCTCAAAGCTCGAGACATTGTTGTTTTGTGTTCAGACCTCATTCACTACTGGCCTGGCTTTCATTTTCTAGAAACATCTGTTTCATGCTGATCAGTTGTAAGCACATTATTTCCCAACTTGCCCAGAGAAGGGGAACCCTTGATACCGAATGGGAAGAGGTGGCAGGTTCACTGGGTGCACACTACTCTGCACACAGACAAACCTGGTACCGCTAAAGGGAATGTGGTCAGGAACATGCTGGAAGGGGTTGAGGCTAGGAAATTCCTTATCGTTCCTTTGTTACTCATGCTGAGGGGGCTGGCGGGAGATTCCCCTGAGCAGCCCCAGCCTGTCTATTCTCTCCCTGCGGCCCTCTGTGATGTGGATGGAGAGAATGGATAGCTTCTCAGCAGCCTGAGCTCCTTGGGGCCCACGACCTATCTGCCCCCTTGCAGGGTTCATGTTAACGTAGCACTAATCTGTTACCCTTGGTGCCCTCGTAACCACTCTCATTGCAGAAAAGCAATGGTTGGGGGCAGACACCTCAGATGGTCCTGTTTCTCTCCATGGGATGAAAAATGTACAATAAGCAATTTCTGTGCCCACTTTGGAGGCTTGGGGCCTAGTGGTTATGTGTTGGGCTGCTAACCGCCAAGTCAGCAGATCAAAACCAACAACCACTCCATGGGAGAAAGATGAGGCTTTCTACTCTCATAATGGGAAATCCACAGGACCAATTCTACTCTGTTGGAGGTCACTATGAGTCCAAATTAACTGGACGGCAGTGAGTTTCTGAGTGAGTGTCCACGGTGAAAACTAGAACGAGGCTCTGTGCTCCTATGCATCTACCACATGCCCAGCAATTACGAGTTGGGTGTTGAGCGGGGGCTGTCTGTCATCACCCCTAGACAACCTGTGTAAATTGATGAAGACCACGCCCACTTCTTACTGCTGCCCTCACTTCCCGGTGTTTCTGCTGCTGGAGTCGACATCCATCCTGTTTCTCAGTGTTTCTCCTTGGCGATCGCTCCTATTACATCACGCTTGGACATAATAACCCGAAGGAAGTTGCAGCGACAACAAGGCAGGCTCCAAGCCATCCACTACCATGGAGTTGATTTTGACTTAGAGCGACTGTCTTATCAGGCTTTCAGGCTGGAAATCTTTTAGGGAGCAGATAACCTCATCATTCTCCTGAGGAGTAGGTGGTGGGCTTGAACCACCAACCTTTCAGTACGCAATCCAATGTTTACCCGACAGTGGCACCGGGGCTCCAGAAAAGGGAGGTCCCTCTCAGATCTCTCTGTCACTGAGTCAATGCTGACTCACAGCGACTCATTGTGGTTTCTGAGGCTGTAGCTGTTTATGGGAGTAGAGAGCCTAGTCTTTTTCCCGGGGAGCTGCTGGGGGGTTCCAAACGCTGACCATACAGATCGCAGCCCAATATGTAACCACGATGCCACCGGGCTCCTTCTATGATCAGTTTTTCTTGAGTTCCTGAAGCTAGAAGAGAGCTCTGCCCTGCCTTCATTCCTTCAGTAAGTAACTGTTAAGAATTGATATCACTGGGAAAAACAGGAACTGAGATCAAGGGGTTCAAGAAGAAAGATTGTGTTTTGAAATTGTTGATGGCAATATGTGTACATATCTGCTTAATATAATGGATGTATGGACTGTTATAATATACGTAAGAGCCCCCAATAAAATGATATCAACACTTGAGGAAGAAGCACAGAGCTGCGTGAGTTCTATCGCTGTGAAAAGACGAGACAAAAAGTTTAGCAGTAGTACAAAACTTGTTCCAGGAGAGGCTTCTTATGTAACTCGGAGCTGGCTCCAGCTCTCTATGAGCTCACTTGGTGCATTGTGGGCCATCTCCTCCACCTTGGCATTCTGGCAGATGGGGAGGTGTAGCTACCATCTGTCTCTATTTTTCTAACCCCTCTGCAGGACGCCACAAAGTGGGCACTGCAGGGACGTCCCACACTGTCAGCCCTGTTCGTTCACCCAAATGCCTGCTGCTTCTCTGCCCAGATCCCGGGCACCAAGAGAGGCTGGCAGGGTGCTGGCTGAGGCCTGCTGCCCTTTGGCTCTTTGGAACACAGGAAATGCAGGCTGGGCCTCAGGGACCGTTGGGTAAGCGGTATCTCCTGGAAAAACCCAGTTGCAGGCATTTGGCTCTGGAAGGGAGGCTCTTTGGGCAGGTGCTCTGTACACAGCATATTTGCATTGCTCTCTGCCCCTCTCTGGCTCGTTCTGGGGCTGGAGGGCACTGTGGCCTGACCGCAGGCGAGTACTGCTTTATGATGGAGGTAAGAAGGCTGAAACTCAACGCTTCTCCTTCCATAAATTCTTTGAAGTCAGGGGCGGTGCCTCTTTGCCACTGTATCTCCAAACCTGGCACAGTAGGTGACCCAAACATACCAGGGATCTTCAGAAAGGTGTGTGTGTGTGTGGGGGGATCTCATTATCCTTGCATTCCATTTTCCATGAAGTTTTTGAAGCTACCTTGCATGTTTAGAAAGCGAATGAAAGAAAGCAAGTCAGGCCCATGTGATTGTAGACAAAGCACTGAACTCAGAGCCAGAGACTCTAGTGTGGCTCTCAGTTCTGCTTCAGTAGCTCTGCACGAAAGCGCCTTCACCTGAACTCCGTTTCCTCACCTGTAAAATGGAGACAATTGTGTTTATCTCTCGGGGCTGCCGTGGGCATGGAAGGAGACAGAGAGCGGTGTGGATTTTGTCACCCGGCACGGTAGGGACAGTTAGCTGTGTACTGGAGAGTTCTGGTAGGGGACTGTGCCCCCCAGCAGGGAGCCTTGGTGGGCGTGGGACTGCAAGGGGGGTGGCACGCCGGATGCATAGGTTCCAAGGAAGTGTCCGGCACGGCAGCACCCCTTGCATGCCCCTGCCCCGACTTCGCTCCACTGATGGGATCTCCTTGGTGATGGGCCTTCCAGGGCCCTTCTTGGAGGTATCTGTGACATGAAACACGCTCCGTTGGCAGTGAGTTTGATTCTAGCATAGACTTGTAAAAAGGATGGGAGAACGAGCAGCTGGCTCAAATTCTTGCGCCACTTGTATTGGAGTTCATCTCTGACATCAATCAATCATGCTACTTTGAACAGGCTAAGGGGCTGTCCCGAGCCTCACTGTTCTCTTTTGAAAGATGGTGATGGGGGAGTGGCTAAGAGGAAGTTGTTCCCAATGCTCTTCTTTGGCCGTGGTCATAGATCAGATAGTATTCACATGTGCAGCATGGTCTCAGGAGTATGCACAGATTTTTAGAGAACTCCCAAATATCACGTCCCCATGAGCACATGCAACATTCTGAAATGACTGCTGATATTAGCAGTCTAGTGAAATGACTTTCTTGTTCTTGGCCACAGGGACAACACAATTGGCTTTGAGTTATATGCAACTTCTTCCAAATACTACAAGCCTACCCATTCTTTTGGGTCGATAGCCAATGTCGGTGAAAGCAGCAGTAAAGAAGTCGAACAACATCTTGCATGAGGCAAATCTGAAAATCTCAGAAGTGTTAAAGAGCAAAGATGTTGCTTTGAGGACTAAGGTGCGTCTGACCCACTCTGCGATATTTTGAATCACCTCATATGCATGTGAAACCTGCACAATGAATAAAGAAGAGCAGAGAAGAGTCGATATATTTAACTTGTGTTGTTAGCAAAGAATATTTGAAGTATAGATGGAGAAAAAATGTACAAACCTGTCTTACAAGCCAGAATGCTCATACTTTGGACATGTTATACCAGGAGAGACCATCCCTGGAGTAGGACATCGTGCTTAGTAAAGTAGAGGGGCAGTGAACAAGAAGATCCTCAACAAGATGGATTGACATAGGGGCTGCCACAATGGCCTCCAAGATTTGACCATTGTGAAGATGAAGCAGGACAGGGCATGTTTCGGTCTGTTGTGCGTAGGGCCGTTATGAGTCAGAACAGACTCCACGACGCCTAACAAGAACAACAAGCGTTCCTAACCACAAAGGAAGTACATCTGAATATGAGTGAGGCAGGAGTTCCTTAGGGGTAACCATTATTTGTCTTCTTATAAAAACTAATCTTGATTCTCAGTCTTGAATTCTTGGTTAATAGGAACCTCTTTCTTTCTGATACAACTCATAACTGATCATGTCACACTTGTGTGTGGTGATATCAAACTTGTGACTTGATGGGTCAGGTAGTTTCAAGAACATCCACATGTTTGTAGATATCACATGTGGCTAAGACTTGCTCCCAAGACAGAGGCATTTCAACCAATAGCAAGCTACTACCGGGAAGTGGACTTGGTGTGGACTGGTGTAGGTAAGACTGGGGAAACCCAGAGACAAAGATTAAAAATCTTTTTTCCAGAACTCACTCGTTGCAGACATCATTCCCAACCATGGCATATATCACAATGGCCGGCTGGTCCAACAGTTGGTTCCTAGACAAGCTGTGAAGCCAAAGGTGAAATCCAAATGTCAAAATCATGGAAGCTAGCTTTGTAAGTACCACTCAGGCTGTCCACATAACTGTTACCATCCTCATTGTAGATAATCAGTCTTTTCATTATTATCATTGGGAGTCAATCACCATTTCCGTTTCCCCCTTCTTCCCAATAATCTTTCAATACCCTCCCATTAGGTGTATAGAACTGAAGAGTAGATTAAAGCCCCTGGGAAATAGATACCCTGACATCTCCTTAGCATCTTCTACAGCATTTGACATTTGAGTTACCTAGGTTACTTGAGCCCAAATAAGTAGGACATGCTGATAGTCATGGATCATTGACACTTTGAAAAGGCAAAAGTTCCACCTTACTCTCCCAGTGGCTCACTTCTGAATTTTAAGCCCAAAGTGAACACAAATTGTTTTCTTACTTATAAAACAGAACTCTGACTTGTTCTTTTTCTGTTTGTTATTCCGTTAGATGTAAGTTTTATCTACTTTGTATGCTTTTTATGATCTCTTTTTAAGGGCACATGCAAACTTAACCACTTCCTATGGTCATTGGCTCAACAGGTGACATCTCTATGTTTGGACAGTGATGAAAAAGGGATTAGTGCTCAGTAAAACGGATTATGGGATAACAGTAGAGAGCATACATGTTAGTTTTTAAACAAAAAATCCCAACGAAAACTGCTCATATCTGTCTTCTAAACACTTACCTTTCTATAAATTTCTCCAGGTTCTGGGAAGATGCACCTGGGTAATTAAAATTAAGAAAACAATTAATGTTAGTGAGTTCGATTGAACAGTATCAAAATGCAAAGCTGATGGGCTGAAGTCATGACAGAAGCACGATTGGACAATCAAAAGTTGTCCAGACCATCACCTTCATGGTAACAATTTGCTTAGAAGATTGTGGCAGTTAGGTCATCTCCTGTCAACTTGAGTGAAGAGGTGGAATCTAGTCTGTCAATCAGGTCATAGCCAATGAGACCTCTGTGTGGGCAAGGCCGTCTCCTAGGATTCTGGGAACTCCTGTCTTCCTCTATGGAGGTGGGACACACATTGTTTCTGGGAGACATTCCTGTTGACAAGCCACATGGAGCTACAATGATGGAGCCAGAGCCCTGGAGTTGAAGGAGCCATGTGGAGACCCATGCAAGTACTGAGACGTTTCCACCACCACTGGATCCACAAGACTTTCCACCCAATGGCCTGTGCTCTTCCTGCATTCAGCATCGCATATGCTGCATGAGGCTGAAGAGGAATTTATAGACTGGATAGGACATATGGACTAAAATCAGATTTATGGACTTGATCTGGACTGGGGTAGGCTGTTTTCTTAACATACAATTACCCTTTGATATAAAACTCTCTCCTACACACGAGTCTCCCTGGAGTTGTTTCTCTAGTCTACCCTGACTAATGAAGTAGATGAATATTGCTTTTTTAGAGTGAGCTATGACAGTATTAAAATGCACAAAAACCTACAAATGAAGGCCCTTCCATGTGCAAGGTCAGGCCATTTCACAAGGCACACACCCATTCATCGTGTCCACTGGTTCACCATGTATGCAGATGCGCATTTGTTAACATTGTTAAACACCTACATGTGCCTGACATATGTTGTGAGGTACTGCCGAGTTCCGATTACAGTGGCCTGTTCTGATGGCAGTGGCGTGATGTATGTACAACTTAATAAAACACTGCTGGGACCTGTGCCATCCTCACAGTGGGAGTTCAAGTCCATTGTGGCAGCCACGGTGTCGGTCCATCTGAGTGAGTTTCCTCCTTTTTCCTGACCCTCTACTTTACCAGCATGGTGTCCTTTTGCAGGCACCGGCCCCTTTGAGACAACACCTCACCTTTCCTGCTCGCTAGGAGCATTCTGTCTGTATTTCCTCAAAGACAGATTCGTCCTCTTCTGGCAGTTCATGGTACTTTCAATATTCGTTGCTAATGCCATGATGCAAACCCATCAATTTATCTCCTGTATTCCTTATTTATTGTTCAGCCTTTACATAGGAGGCGACCGAAAATGCCATCGCGTGGAGTAGGCGCACCATGGTCCTCCAAGTGCCAGTGTTGCTATTCTAAATTTTTATTCTTTTGCTGCAAAAGGAAGCTTTATTGTTTCCAGTTGGCCCACGGCCTCGGGAGAGGGGCTGGGGCGGTGGCGCTGGGTGTCGGGGCGGGTTCAGGCAGAGGGGCTGAGGCCCCAGGGGTCACAGTGTTTGAGGGTGAGCGGCTCTGGGAGAGGCACTTGCCCCGCCAGCCTGGGGGCTGGCCAGCCTGCTTGAAAGGAGAAAAATCCAATTGGATGTGAAATCTCTTATCTTTCTTTGTGGAAGCTGCCTGCTTGCATTTACATCAATGAGGGAAAAGCATGGAGATTGTTCCAAGTATGTGCGGGTGTGAGACTGCTCCCGGTCGTCTTACGGAAGCACGAGAGAGATCCCAGTGGCAGCATGTTGCCAGTGGTCTCCTGCAGCTGGCCCTTCATTCATCCAGCCTCAACTTCCTACTACAGTCAGATAAGAAAGCAAGAGGTGTTTAATTCTCACTCTCTGAATTTTCTCTTAATGAGAAATGAAAGCTAATGAAAGCTCAAGCTATGAGTGGGGGTGGGGGGGTGGGGTTAAAGGACCAGGTTGGACCAATAATTTTTCTCATTATCTGGAGTGCAGTGGGGGATTTGAGGTATGGGCGCCCACAGAGCTTGAAGGAAATGAAAATAAAAACTTTTCATGGCATGCCACCCTGGCAGCCCTCTGCCCCATCCCATACCACCTAGATTCTTTCACTGCCCACTGGGCAAGGATGACGGGCCAATGGCAGCCATTTGTGGTTGATGTAAAACAACAGCAGACAGACAAATCACAAGAGTCACCCAAGGAGAGAGAAATGACCTGCCCTACTCTACCCCAATGCCCGTTCTTTTCCCAGAGGGTGGTCAGAGTATTATCATCCCGTTCTCTCTGTTCCACGGTCCTTGCACCTCCCACTACCACCATTTCCTTTAGGAAATCTCCGGTTTATGAGATTACGTCGTTCATTTCTGTAATCATCATTCACTTTCTCTTCGTTTTTCCTTTGCCTTTTGCTCTGATCTTCTTTTGCCAGCCACACCAGGACCCTGTCCTGGGCAAACTCTTGTCTTCCTCATCCCATATGTAGAACTCTCCCCAGTGGCTGATCCTGCTGCTTCTACGTTACAGGAAATCATTACTGAAGCCATTGGGACTGGGAGATGGAAGCAAGAAATCAAGCCAGCTCTGGCTTGTAGGATATGGCAGAACAAGGCAAATGTTTCAAGAACCGGCGCTACCCTTAAGAGGTCTGTACTCTGGTCTCTGTAATCATAGTTCAGAGGAAAAGAAAAAGTTTGACCTTGAAGGAGTGTGACATTAAATATCTTTTAAGGTGGTCCCATGGAGAGCCTGCCTGTCCTTAGTTATGGGAGGAAGAGGGTCCATACAGGACAGAATTATCAGAGTCTTAACTTGTCCAGTGCCTTATAAGGTGCATGGCAAGTGGGGAAGATCCTCCCATGATGCCAGCATTGTTTTTCTCTAGGATTTCAGCTTATGTTTCCACTGTTGGATCAGTGCTGACTACAGCCCTCAGTAGTCCGTGCATTCACATCAGTTGATAAGACTATTTTTCTTCTAAATGAGTTTCTTACTTTTAGAGTCTAGCCTGGAATAAGCACCCAGTCTCAAATGTCTCATGGAAAGTAATGGCACTTTAAAACTAAGTGGAAGTAGGATATATTTTTATAAATGAAGTAATACATCAATTTGGCATTATGTATTGAGTCTCTACTGTGGACAGGTGTTATAATAGATGCTGGGGACAAATCAGTAAGAGACAAGCTTGTAGCTATCAAAGAAACAGTAAACACACAGAGTTAGGGGCACAAAGAAGCCCTGAAGGAGGGCTATGAAGCTGGAAACAAAAGAAGGTGTTTCTTTTCCTGAAGTCTTAAGATAAGAGCTTGCCAATTCATCCCCAATTTTACAGGAGTAGAAAACCTCATCTTTCTCCTGTAGCGTGGCCAGTGGTTTCAAATTGTCAGCCTTGCAATTAGTAGTCCAACTCTTAACCCATAATGCCACCAGGGATCCAGATACATATAAATGTAGATATGTGAGTTCAGGTACATGACATGTACTGAAGACATAACCAAACACCTGCCAACACTAGTTTCTGGGTTTGAAAACTTAGGAGCATAGTCTTATGACACAATCAATTGGAATATCGGGTCACAGAAATCATGATGTGCTTCCCGGTGAAGTGGGTAGTGTTTGAGGTCTTAAAATCTTGCAGGTGGCAAGCCGCCTAGGCCACATCTATGGATCTCAACTTAACCAGGAGCAAAAAACAAGAGGGTCACCAAACGTATAAAATGAAGCAAGTCTTCAAAAACCAACCTCATCTCTTTGAAGAGATGGCACTCGACGACGACCACTGACCATTCTGACAAGGGCCACAATACCTGGTCCCAGAGAGAAGTGGAGAAACCTGGAGCAGTGCTCAAATTCTTATTTTTTAAGAAAGCCAGACAGACTGGCACAGTAGAGAAGAGAGGACCTCCTGAGACTATCAATCTGAGATGCTCTTTAAAGCTTGAACTTAACCACCCCCCTGAGATCACCTATTAGTGAAATAGTAGAAACCAAACCAAGCCAATTGCCATTGAGTTAATTCCAACTCAGAACAACCCTGCAGAAGGGAATAGAATTTCTCCTTATGGTTTCTGAGACTGTAAGTCTTTACAGGAACAGACCGCCTCATCGTTCTCACTCAGACATAGTACAGAAACACAACAGAAAGGACATTATTTCTCAGATCGGCGCCCTTCTTAAAAATCATCAGTATGAAGCCAAAAGGTCAGTGGTTTCTAAAAACAAGATGAAAAACAAATGTAAACAATTGTTGTTAGACACTGTGGAATCAGTTCCGACTCATAGCCACCCCTATGCTCAACAGAACAAACCACCCAGTCCTGGGCCATCCTCGCCGTGGTTATGTCTCAGCCCGTAGTTGCAGCGACTGGGCCAATCCATCCATCTCGACAAGGGTCTTCCTCTTTTGACCTTCCATTGACTTTACCAAGGACTGGTCTCTCCTGAGAAGTGTCCAAAGTAAACTAGAGAGGCAAACGAGAGTACTGGAATGGGAACTAACAGAACGCAATGAAAGAGAATGTTGACGCACTGTGTTTAATGTCGTTCAAGTCTCCGAATGTTACAATTTGTACGGAACTTGTCAAATCAAAGTCTAACTTGCTGTGTAAATGTTCACCAAAAACTCAGTAAAATATCATTAAAATAGGTTGAGTCCTATTAATAAGAGGAAGGTCTGTGGAAAGGATGATGATGTGCTTCATTTATGAGACACCCCACTCAAGTAAACCAAGAAATTACTGGAACCATGAAAATCTGAAGGATTTCTCTGAACCTAGGTTCACAAGCTCAGACACCTGCAAGTGAAGTACGTGTGTGAAGCAGGTCAGGCCAATTACAGATTGCATATCTCATGTCAATTTTTAAAACCTTTATTCCTGAAATATATTTTTATGGGATATAGCACTTTAAAACTATTGTTCTGCTTTCTTGTGATCACAATATTTTCTGATGAGAATTTGTCTTGTCATTTAAATTGTTGTGGTAGGTTGGATTCCTGAGAGAACCCAAATCAGTGGTACCTGTATGTGTGGTACATAAAAAGAAATTTATATCAATAAATGGCTT